GATGCCCGCGCCCGGCCCGCGGAGCGCATGGTAGGAGGAGTGACGGACCTGAAGCCCACTGACCCACAGGTGCAGAAGGCGGCCCAGGCGGCCGTGGCCAGCTACAACATGGGCAGCAACAGCCTCTACTACTTCCGAGACACGCGCATCCTCAAGGCGCAGAGGCAGGTGCGTCAGGGCTGGCGGGACCGAGCGAGGGGGGCGCGCAGCCGGGCGCCAGATTAAGGAGGAGTCACAAGAGTAATCAGGAGAGTCCACCAATATATTTTTAAAAATTGAATTAATGCCAAATTTTCACAATGAACCAAATATCTAAATTTCAAATAGAATCTACCCCTGACCTTGCTCAGCTACCTCACCAGCTTCACACCAGTCCCTTTCCTGCCCAGCTAATTGGGAAGGGAGGTGGGGGAGAGGAGGCAGTGGGCTTCAGGATGGGGTGCGCTTGGGCAGCCTCCTGCCTGGCTGGGGCCTCGGCCTCTCCCCCGGGGACCCCCACCAGGTCTGAATCCCCAGGCCGGTGTGCTGGTGGCCAGGGGAAGGGCATGGGAGATGGGAGGCGGTGAGAGAGGCGAGAGGGAGTGTCCCAGCACCCCTGACCTGCCCCTGCCCTCCGTCCCAGCTGGTGGCTGGCATTAAGTACTACCTGACCGTGGAGATGGGGAGCACAGCCTGCCGCAAGAGCTCGGTGACTGGAGACCGCATGGACCTCACCACCTGCCCCCTGGCCGCAGGGGTGCAGGAGGAGGTAAGAGCCCTGCACTCGGCCCTGCCCACCGGCACCCGGGGCCTCAGGTTGTCCAGCTTGAACTGGTCTGGCCGGCCAGACTGATGTCGGGCTGAACCCCTCCCTGCCTTCTGGGTGACTCAGCGCCAGGTCAGGGTGGGGTGCAGAGGAGATGGGGGTTCCCCCTGGAGAGTTGACTGGGAAGATCTGGGATCTAGCTTTGTTGTCTCTTGGGCCAGAGACAACAAACTCCAGAGGGCTCCCCTGGGAGTGCAGAGATGGCTAAGCTGAGGGTTTGAGATTGGAGTTGCGCGTGGCCATTTTCCCACCACGAAGGAGGAGCCGCTCTAAGCACAATTTGAAGTCCCTCATGGTGGGCCAGCACCGACTGTGGGAGGAGGCAGGCCTGGGCCAGGCTGACCCCCCCTCTCCCCCCACACTCTGTCTGCAGAAGCTGCACTGCGACTTTGAGATCCTAGTGGTCCCCTGGGAGAACTCCTCCAGCCTCCTCAAGCACCACTGCGTGCCCGTGTAGGAGGCCCCTGCGGCCACGGGAGCGGGGCCATCGGTGGAGGGCGCTTCAGGTCCATGGGCCGTATCTGCTGCAATAAATCGCTAACACTGCTTCTTGCATCGGTCTCTTCTGAGTGCTTCACTCCTCCCTCTCCCCGTCTTCCACTCCTGGCAGCACCCCCCGCCCCCGGCTGAGCTGCTGTCCCAGCCCAGACAGTGCTGAGGGGTACAGGGTTAACTCCAAATCTGGAGTCCTCCAAACACCCAGCATCAGCGATGTAGAGGAACAAAGCTTCAGGGTCTCAGTGCTCTCAGAGCTGAGGCAGGGGAGACACAGGAGAGGGATGGTGCCCCGAGAGGAAAGGGGAGTCGGTGAGTACTCTGCGGAGCACCTGAGCACTCCTCCCTCTCAGCCCCTGGGCAACTCAGGGTGGCATGGGGGCGGGGGCAGCCAGCAGGGCCCCAGGACTCTGAGCTCCCAGGCTGTGAGATTTCTCTACCCACGTGTGGCCCAGAGACAGCTGAGCCCTGCAGGCCGAGACCAGGAGGGTTGGGACAGTGACTCTCAAGTACACATTGTGCTTGGCCCGGAGCAGGGTTCCGGGAAGGGGCTGGACAAGGACCTCCAAGGGGCTGAGGTGAAATCTGCCTCCAGGAGGGATGAGGGGCGGATACGGTTTAGAGCAAACAGTTGCAATATCTCATGCACACCTGAATTTGCAGGTACAAGTCATACTTCACACACACACACACACACACACACACACCAGAACTCCTTAGCACACCGGACAGAGAAACCCAAAACGCACCCTCGGATGTTCTTGGACACACCACACACACATCCAGAAAACCACAAACCGCCGGGCAGCCCAGGAGCGCTCCCACCCAGAAACCACCTGGAGATGTACACACGGACCCACACACACATAACCTCAGGGACCCACACGCTCCAACCCAGAGCGGTCCAACACCCACACCTGGGACAGGACGGGCAGTGACTGGGTCCCTTGGGAGCACTAGTGTGGGCACCGTTGGGCCCAGGCAGGACGGAACGCAGTGGCTGTGGAGCGCGCCCCCTGCAGGCCAGGGCTCACACCGGCTGTGCCTGCCGGGTCCCCTGCCCAATGCTGGGACCTAGTGGGGAACTGTCCCAGCTCCCAGGCCCTGCCCTCTGTCTCAGAGGTGGGGCCGAGGAGGTGGTACATAGATGTGACTCCCACGTGGAAGGCTGAGGCGCTGAGGGCTGGGTTTGACAGGCGTTAGGGATGCCGGAGAAACTCCGTCCTGCAGCTGCTCCAGCCTGTCAGACGCGGCAGCTCAGACGGCCCAGGGCCATGTGGTGGGGCGGCTGCTGGAAGGGCTCCCACGTGTGCCAAGCAGGAGCTTCCGGCACGGGGCTGGCACAGGGCAGGCGGCAGGAAATGCTTGTTGAATGAATGTGTGAGGTGGTGGAGTGAGGCGAGGCCTGGAGGTATCTGCCCGGTGGCCTCCCCATCCCCGGAATCTGTGCGCAAATCCCAGATGGCATTTCCCCTGCGCAGCCTCTTCCTGGGCCCTGAGCCAGCCGGCGCCCTCGGCCAGGCCGAGAGGGGAGATGCTTCCTCTGTCCAGAGGCCTGGAGCTTCGCCACTCTCACGCCCAGCTTAGAGGCAGAGGCACAGGTTTGGTTGGCAGAACTGTCTGTCACCCTCAGCCTCACCTCTGGAGTCCCACCCCTGACACCCTCCGCAGGAGCTTCCGGCACGGGGCTGGCACAGGGCAGGTGGCAGGAAATGCTTGTTGAATAAATGTGTGAGGTGGTGGAGTGAGGCGAGGCCTGGAGGTATCTGCCCGGTGGCCTCCCCATCCCCGGAATCTGTCCCCAAGCGCATGGGGACCTCTGGGTTCATGATATCCTCCTAACGGATGCTAAAGGTGCTGGTGGCCCTCAATTCCTGAGCTCGGAGCCCCTGTTTCCGGAGCCTACTGGTCCCCCATGTGTTGAATGAGTGTGAGGTGGTGGAGTGAGGCGAGGCCTGGAGGTATCTGCCCGGTGGCCTCCCCATCCCCGGAATCTGTGCGCAAATCCCAGATGGCATTTCCCCTGCGCAGCCTCTTCCTGGGCCCTGAGCCAGCCGGCGCCCTCGGCCAGGCCGAGAGGGGAGATGCTTCCTCTGTCCAGAGGCCTGGAGCTTCGCCACTCTCACGCCCAGCTTAGAGGCAGAGGCACAGGTTTGGTTGGCAGAACTGTCTGTCACCCTCAGCCTCACCTCTGGAGTCCCACCCCTGACACCCTCCGCCTGTACTGCATGATGGCTTCACTGTGCTAGAGGAGGTGAAGGTAGTGGAGAGGAGGGGGGTGTTGTAGATAGTGGAAGAGCCAGGGTGGGGCTTGTGCTCGACTCAGTGCTAGGTCTCCAGCACCCAGCGCAGGCCCAAGCGCGTGGGGACCTCTGGGTTCATGATATCCTCCTAACGGATGCTAAAGGTGCTGGTGGCCCTCAATTCCTGAGCTCGGAGCCCCTGTTTCCGGAGCCTACTGGTCCCCCATGCCCTGACAGCAGAGGGCTACTCCAGCTTGTTCTTTCTCTCCTGACTCCTGGGCCAGAAAGGCCTTCCTCCCGGAGGCAGGGCGCCCACTCTCCCTCCAGCACTGCGCCTGGCCCGCTTTCTTGGTCACCCCTCTGGCTGCTGCCAACCCACTGCTGGGCCGAGCTAGGATGCCAGGCCCTGGCGGGGCTGGAGGAGACCACGAACAGCACCTTTCACATGCAACACGCACGCACACACCTGGGTGTGCACACTCACGTGCATACACACCGTTCTGCTGTCTCGTGCCCATGAGGACACAGTGAGGACACAGAGCCTGCTGGGGTTTTAAAACTCTGTTGAGGTCCAGCTCTGCAGGCCTCGATAATCATTCCAGCAGGTCTGGGACTTGTCCCACCCACCCCGTGGGCAGCTGGCCAGAGGCTGAAGTCTGTGTCCGCTGTCCCTGTCCCGGGATCACTTCCTGAAGTCGTCTTCGCCAGCCTGTGGGGTGGGATGGGAGGGTGGCTGAGCCGCCAGCCTCTGCCTTTTCCAATGCCCATGGGACTGTCACTCAGGGCTCCTTCTGGGCATAGTCCCCCGCCTGGCCTTCCAGCGTCACCTCACCCCGGCCCCTCCCTTCTGGCCCCTCCCTTCTGGTCCTGCCTGATTCACCTCAAACACAGTGTCCACAATCTCATCAATGACGGATGCCTGGGAACGGAACTTCTGCTGATAATGCTCCACCGCCGTGGCCAGTTGCAGGAAATGGAACAGGAGCTCCTGTTGCCTAGGAGAGTGGGGGGCAGCGGTGAGTCCTGGCCAACCTGCCTGGCTGAGCCTCTGGCCCCCAGAGCCCCCCAGAGCCCCCCAGATGGCTCTTCTTGTTTATTTTATATCTTTTATTGATTTCAGAGAGGAAGGGAGAGGGAGAGAGAGATAGAACATCAATGATGCGAGAGAATCATTGATTGGCTGCCTCCTGCACACCCCCTACTAGAGATGGAGCCAGCAACCTGAGCATGCGCCCTGACTGGGAATCGAATCGTGACCTCCGGGTTTATAGGTCGATGCCCAACCACTGAGCCACACTAGCTAGGCCAGGTGGCTCTTCTTGCTTGCCCACCCCCCCCACACACACACACTCACAGCACTCTAGACCTCCACTTCCAGCATGGCCACAACTTTTCTGCCTTGCCCCCCATCCCAGTCTGCCTGTACCACAGAGGGTATTAATTGTGTACCCCTCCATCCCTCCATCCCTCCTCCATCTGCCTAGCCATCCACTTGCCATCCGATCACCGCCCCCCCTTTCACTCACTGACCTATCCCTCCATCCACCTGCTCTGCCCTGAACCCACCCCACCCCTTCACCATGCTGTGCAGTCAGTCATCCACCTAAACCCCCACCCATTCACCCACCCTACTGCCCATTCATAATGCCTTCAGCGCCCGCCTGTCTAACAAATCCACCGGCCAGATCACACGGAAATCAATTACACTACAAGGCGCTCCAGGAACATAGACACGAACAAGAACAGCCCCTGCCTGCAAAAGCGCAGTTTGTGTCGGAGCCAGAAAAGCAAACCTGGTGTGTGTACCCCATGCACCTGACACAGGGCACGGCCCGTGGGGGTGAGGACGGGCTTACGGAGGGAGTGCCACTGAGCTGGGTTGGAGAGATGTGATGGTTTGCCAGGCTCAGTCAGGCCCCGGTTCCCTTTTCCAGAGCAGCAGGGCGTAGACTGGGAGGCGGGGGCAGGCCGCAGGGAGCGGGGTGGGGAATGGATGGACTGGAGGTGGACACACCCAGGAAAGGTCAAAGCGAGGTGCCCAGACCTCATCCTCAGGGAGGCAGGAGCCCTCATAGGGTTTCAAAATCAGAGGAAGAAAGAAAAGCCGAAACTGCTTTTAAAACAGAAATCACGCTCTAAGTGAAAAAGGGGGAAATGATTTAAACAAACAAAAAACAACACAGGACTCTTGGTGGAGGTGGGCTGGTGGGGAGGAGTGTGGAGGCCATGAGGCCCCTGAGCAACGCATGGCAGAGGCACCGAGGGCCCAGGAGCTGGAGCGTGGAGGGCGGCCTGGGGCCAGGAGGTGAAGTGCGCAGGACTGGAACTCAGCTCTCCCAGCCCTTGGCCACCCGAGCCTGGCATTGGCCGCCAGAGAACATTCCAGGGAGAGAGAACGATGGGGCAAAGGCCCGGAGGTGGAGAGGTATGTGCTCTGCTTGGGAAACGGTGTGGGCGAAGCAAGGGTGCGAGGGGGTGGTAGTGGCTGCAATGACCGCGAACAAGGTTGGCAGAGGCTTGATCACGGAAGGCCTTTGGGACTTAGCCTGTGTTGGTGGCTGAGGAGAGCTGGGAGGGTGCCCGGAGGCAGGCGCCTTGTCCGCTGCTTTGGAGCCAGTCTGGATGAGCGGGGTGAGGCCCAGTTTTCAGAGAGAAGGCTCTCTGGGAGCCAGGCCCGAGAGCCAGGCAGCAGGAGTCTGTGCCGACGTCTCCCAGCCACAAGCACAGCCCCGAACCCCCAGCTGTCTTGCCCCAGCTCACCACGCAAGTCAACAGAACGAGGTAGTGCCCACCAGCCTGTTCCCTGGCCCATCCTCCTCATCCCCCCACTTGGCTGAAGTCCACCCACCCTCCATGGCCCTGCACAGGTGCTAGTCTGTGTCCTATTTGTGGTCCTGGAGACTCACAGGGCCTCACAGAGGTGGGCAACCTACTTTCCCTGCCCGCCCACTGGTCAGGCTCCCCCACTCGCCCCTCAGACCCAAGGCCTCCCCTCCCTGCAGGTCTCCTTACTTCGTGGTCATGGCCCCAAATTTTTTCTCGATGAGGAGCTTCTGTTTAGTGTGTTCACTCAACACCTCTTCAGGCTCTGACGCAGAGAAAGAGGGTGGTCAAGGGGGCGCCTGATTGAGAGGGAGCGGAGGAGCCCCGTGTGTCAGGGAGGTTTTCAAACAGGGCTAACGAGTTTTTGCCCAGGATGCCCTCAATCACTTCTCCAGGCGTGGAGTGTGTAGCAATCTTGTTGGTTAGACTCAGGCCCGACCAATCAGAACAGCCTATCCTTCCGGCTACAGGGATTGGTTCAGAAATATGCAGGTGATCAATTGGAGCAAAAGAGAATCATTTCTGGACATTGCTGGAGCTTCCGGAGAAGAGGGCTCCCCTGGGAGTGCAGAGATGGCTAAGCTGAGGGTTTGAGATCGGAGTTGCGTGTGGCCATCTTCCCACCACGAAGGAGGAGCCGCTCTAAGCACAAAACCGTGCAGCGGGCTGAAGAGCGGAGAGAGGGAAGGAGACCAAATCCTGACCGCCATTCAAGTCCCGGATCCAGCCGCTCCTGAAAGCCCCTGCACTCTCGGTTTGCTAAACAATTTGAACCAATTAACTTTTCTTTTTGCTTAATCTCTTTTTCATTGAGTGTCTGTCCCTGATGGAGTGGGCAGATGGAGGACCAGGTGACCCCTGAGGACCCTTATTCCTCTGGTGTTAATGATCTTTTTTTAAAAAAAAATATATATATATTTTATTGATTTTTACAGAGAGGAAGGGAGAGGGATAGAGAGTTAGAAACATCCATGAGAGAAAAACATCGATCAGCTGCCTCCTGCACACCCCCTACTGGGGATGTGCCCGCAACCAAGGTACATGCCCTTGACCGGAATCGAACCTGGGACTCTTCAGTCCAGAGGCCAACACTTTAGCCACTGAGCCAAACTGGTCAGGGCTGGTGTTAATGATCTTAAGAGTGGGGTTCTGGAGCTCAGATTCTAAACAAAATTGCTACACACAGTGACTCTGGACAAGTGTGTATCTGACCTTGACAAATCCCTCAGACAGCTGAAACCAATGCATGTAAAACCACTGCTATAAACTTATTAACAGAAACGAGTGTTTGGTAAATCATCATTTGGCTAATCAAGTCATTTCACCAACGGGTCTTTCAAGAATTGACTCTCAGTTTAATTGGCTTTTGGAGGACGGTCTCAGCGCTCTTTCGACCAAAGTTCTAAGCTTTGAACGTTCTCCTGAGTCTCAGATTCTAAAACTCGAAGCCCAGCCTGGAATCCCGGGTCTGACTGTGGGAGGGGAGGGCCGATACCTGCTTCGTTGAGCTTCATCAGCGATTCAGTCAGCAGCTTCGCCTGGATCTGGGCGGCCCTCTGGGAAGAGGAGGCTCGGTCCTGTCAGGGCCCTGCCTGTGGGCCCTGGAGCAGCCTCCCTCCCTCCGTGCCTTCTCCCCTGTCTCTCTGATGGGTCCCTCGCCACCCCCTCCATACCTCCTGCTTCACTTTCTCCAGGCCTCTGAGCAGTGCCATCTGGAAGTTATCTACCAGGACAGCAATCACCAGGCTGGAGGGGGGACAGTGGGGTACTCTGGAGGAGGCTGGAGGAGAGGCAGCACCCTTCTCTGGGTGAGGGGGCTGGGGAGGGGCTCCCCCGGGGTGGGAGAAGGGAGGGGAGTGAAGCCGGGGAGCGGAGCAGGGGCGGCACCCTCACTTGAGGAAGATGAAGTACTGGATGATGATGTAAATCATGAGAATGGGGATGATGTACCAGGCGCCTGGGAGAGAGCGGGCAGTTGGAACCGTGAGTTTCTTGCCGGCCCTCAACAGCACCGCCCCACTTTGGAGATGGGGTAACCAGCCCTCAGGGTCTGCCCACCCAGCCAGCCTCCCGCCCACCATCCAGCCTGGGCCTGCCCCACCGTTGGCCCGGCTGTCCACGTAGATTTGGGACCAGTCGTCCAGGGTCAGCAAGGTGAAGAGGGTGAAGATGGTGGTGAAGATGTTCTGGAAACGCTTGGGGTCAGATTGGCGGAACAGTCCCCGGAGCACCACCGAGAAGAGGACTGGTGGTTCAGGGCCGAACCAGGCTCGCAGGGCCTACGTGACCCCGTCCCCCTGCCCGGGTTCCTACCGCCATCTTCCACCCCAGCCCCACAGCTCAGGATACAGAGGCAGGTGGACATGAGGACGAGGATGGCCGTGATGGACGGCATGGACCGCACCAGGGTCCCGGTCACTTCCTGGAGGCTGGTCAGGAAGCTGTGGGCAGAGGTAGAAAGGGAGGCTGAGTCGGTGGAGGTGGGGATCTGTGCCCGGGAGCCAGGGCTGACCCTGAACACAGGAGTCCCTGACTTGCTGGTGACTTGGGAGAGTCCCAGCCCCTCTCTGGAAAGTGAAGAGAACGGACCCGCAGGAGGCTTGCCAGAAGCAGGCTGGAGTCTGCAGCCCCCACCCCCGATCCCTGCAACAGGTCACAGCACACCCCCCGGGAGTCCAGGCCTCTGTCCCCCCTTCCAGGGAGGGCAGCTGTGGCCCAGCTGACCTGAGCCTCTTCAGGACTCGAACGGCCCTCAGGGCCCGCAGGCTCCTGAAGACCTTGAAGATCCTGAAGAAGTTTGGGTTGTAGATGGTGCGCTGGAAGGAGCGGGAGTTGAACTGCACGAGTGTGAACTCCAGCGCAGCCATGGCCACGATGAAGAAGTCTGAAGGCACAGGGTGCCTGAGTGTAACAGGCTCCCGCCCGGGTCCCTAGCCCAGACCCACAGCCCTCCCACACCGCCACCCCCTGCCCGGCCCTTGTGTTTTCAGCCTCTCCTAGGCAGTTCAGTGGCACACACACACACACCCCATTTCTACACACCCAGAATGTTCCAGGAATCATAAAAATAGTCGAGGCCCATACTAATGATCTTGAGCAAAGCTTCCACCACGTAGACGGAGAGGAAGATGGAGTCAAAGACCATGAAGTACCACGCTGTGGGGACACCAGGGGCTTGCTCAGGGTCATCGCCAGCGGCCCTGGCCCCTCTCTCCTCCTCCCCACGGGAACCTTACACACAGCCATTTAAGGAGAGCCTGGCTCTGCCCCAATAGCTGTGTGTGTTAACTGCTCTGTGCCTCAGTTTTCCTGTCTGTAAAATGGCGATAATAACAGCCTGCCCGATATTTTTCATGAGCATGAAAGTCATTGAACACAGTAAAATGCTTAAAATGGAGCCAAACCAGCGACCATGCAAGTAACATCGGCCATTCTACTTGTCTCTTTAGTTTTTGCCCTTTCCTTCACCCTGCTCCCCAGGGTTTTAAGGGCTGCCTTCTCAGGTTTTCCACTCTCACCCCTCCTGGGTCTCCTCAGAATCTTCTGGCCCTTCTAGCCCACCTGGGTTCCCACCACTCTGCCCAGCAAAGCATATTTAGAGCAAACACGCCCTCTAGTGGTGATAGCCACAAACAGCAATCCTCTGGTTTAGCTGGCCTTTCTGTCCCCGGCTGCCTAGCTGACCTCAGCTCTCTCTCTCTGCGCGGCTTTACTAATTTATATAAAATCAGTGGGCAGCCCTGGCTGGTTTGGCTCTGTGGCTAGAGCGTTGGCCTGTGGACTGAAGGGTCCCAGGTTCGATTCCTGTCAAGGGCACATGCCTGGGTTGCGGGCTCCATCCCCAGTAGGGGATGCGCAGGAGGCAGCCGATCAATGATTCTCTCTCATCATTGGTGTTTCTATCTCTCTCTCCCTCTCCCTTCTTCTCTGAAATCAATAAAAATAAATTTAAAAAAAGTGTTTAAAAAAATAAATAAAATCAGTGGGCACTGGGCCAGGCCGACAGCAGGTCTGAAACATGGTCAATACCCTTCTCCACATGAACGGGGTTCCCCGGGTCTTACCGCCCCGGACCTCAACCACAGCGAAGGTCTGGGCCACAAGCATGATGATGTTGAGGCAGACAACGATGAAGATGAAGGCGTCAAAGAACAGGGACTGGGTCAGGACACTGAGCATTTTCCGGAGGACGTAAAAGAGGGAGCAACAATTTTCGAACAGCTTACTGCAGAAGTTCCCACTGTGCGCCTTCTTGTGGCCCCGCAAGGTTTTGTTGGCTATAAGGGGGCCAGAAAGTCAAGTCTGTGAGGAGGGGCTCGGGGATGCCAGGCCTCCCGTCAGCCGGCCTGGGATTCTTCATGCCTGCCTGCTTGCCTGCCTTCCACTCCCGAAGGGGCCTCTATGAACTGATACTGGGCCACAGGCCCAACTCCTCCCATGGTAGGGGCCAGCCTGTGGGGGACTTGGGGTCGTCTGCTGGAACATGCTTTGAGGGCTCATGTTCCCACACCCCCACGCCTTTCTTTACTCACATGGCAACTTACGTGTGGAAAACCCAATCCCCCACGCCACCCCATCCTCTTGGTAAATTCTCCCTTTCCCTTGAAGATTCTGCTGAAACATCTTCTCTGGGCTACTTTCCCTACCCCCTCCATTAGACATTCACTCCACTCTGCGTGTCTGTGGGGCTGTTGCCATGTTTGCTGAGCTTCTAGGGGCCAAGTTTGGGGGGGGGGTTGTGCATTAACAGCCAAGGTCCCCCCTGCCCTCAAATGGCCCTCATTCAGGCACTGCTCCCCAGACTCTGACCTCAAGAAGCTCATGGCTTAGCGTAGGAAATATGGACAAATAGAATCCACAAATGTTCTGACATGAAGGATAGGCCTCCATCACTGGATGATCTGGGTTGGTTGGTTGTAATCACCCCCAGCCTTGGAGCCCCTTGAGGGCTGGTCTTCCTTGTGCTGCCAGGGCCCCAGTAGTCCAGGCACCCATATTGGATAAGAGGAAATGCTGGACAAGTGAACGTGCAAATGAAGAAAGCCGTGACTGAGTGAACAAACCACCGACGGCCTGAAGAGGTGCCTAATTCTACAAAGAAAAGATTGGCTGATGAACAGTCCGTTGAGTGAACAGCCAATGAAAAGTTCCTTCCAGGCGAGAGTCAAGCCTCGTGATCTGCGCAAGGTTGGTGCAGGGCCTGAGTTAGATCTGCAGCCTGGGCCAGGCAGTGGGAGTTGGAACG